TCATTCTCCTAACTGTTAGACCTAATTCTAATCCACCATATCAGCTTCGAGGTAAGATTTTACGGTTCAAGAGTGTTGCTTTTATTTCTAATCGTATTTATTAGGTGTTATTCCATTGATCTCTTTTTTGCAACGTGATCATCGAAAAAGACAGTACCGTCAGTTGTAAACACGGAATATAATTCAAATGATTAAAAAAGTCAAGTAATAAAACATGCAGAACAATATTCAACCTGAAGGACTAAAGAAATACAAAAAATGTGTACTCCATCGTAATCAATCTCAAGCCACCTCAACACATGGGGAAGATCTTTAGGTGGACCACAATCACTAAATTCACTTTTTTTTAACACGGTTCAAACCGCTACTCTATGGTTTCATATGTGTATACCAATTCCTACTTTGTCTGCCCCTGCTGTTCTCAAAGCTTTACTGTTTTTCGCCTAGGTGGGATGTGGTTAGGAAGGAATAGCACAAGTTCTATATAATCCAGTTGATGAATGTTCACAACCTCATCAACCTAATCACCATCTTGACTTTAATATCTTACACTTGATTAGATTTCTGATAAAATCTCAGATTTTCATCTGTAATTTAAACTAATATTTTAATATAATTTAACAACCAAGTATAAAATCATGTATCCAGATTAAAGTCACACTATTTGTGCGATATTTCTTGAAAGCCAATATCAAAGTTGCTAGAGGCAGGTGTGAATTTATGACACAGTAGCTGAAAATTCGGTGTTTTGATGATTAAGCCACGTCTGTTGCAAACTTATTCTAAAGCCTGTCATAAACAATTGTCTTACACAGTACATAATTCATGTAACCAAAGTGGCTAATGTGTGTCGTGTTTCTCAAGAATTTAGAGGTATTTAGCAAATATATTCTTTATTGAAAGCTATATCACTTTCGTGTGAACAGGTTTATGTTAATTTTTTCTTAGGTTGGAATATTTATTTAATTTTGATCAAGCCTACGAGATACGTGATGAAGTTGATACCTTAAAACGTATGGGTTTAATGCTTCGCCTTGGTACTATTCATTGTACACAAGAGGAGTATAATCAGTGCTTAGAGTTGGTACCACCATCTCTAAGATTTTATGTAGAGGGTAAGTAGTCGTTTCTATTCTTCATTAGTGTTTTGCTCTAACCGCCAAACTGAGGGATTGAACATTCATATTTTAAAAAGAAAAATATCATGTATTTGATGTCGTAAAACATTACTATCGTCAAATTATATTCTTTAAAAAAATATAATGCATATAGTATGAAAGGTTCGAAGCATGGCTTTTATTGAGTCATATATGCCTTAATAACTTTTATAGACAATTAAATGATCTTACAACCATCTGATTTTGATTGTATTGTGACAGTTGCTCAGATGTGTTCAATGTCTTTGTTTTATCTGTTATCTATATACGTCTAAGATATAAAAAGTTCAAACCTATAAAGTTGGTTAATCCCATCTAATATTTTATCACAAACTAGTAGGTTGCATAGCTAATGTGATATTATCTCACTATATCATGTAGTAGGATTATTGATGTACTGTGATAGGTTCTCTGAAGCACTTACTACAGAATCCATATGACGTACTTAATAGTCAGCTAGTCAGTCAAACGTAAAGTAGAACCTAGTATGTCGGTTCAAGTTGCAGTAGCCTTACATAATAAACGAAATAAAAGTTGTGTTCCACAGATTACCTGAGCTACTCAGAAGATGTATTACTTTTATTCCAAAATAAAAAAATACTCTCTTACGAAATATTATCCCTTAATTGACTCTATTAATGGCATTCTTTACTAGCTAATTCCTAAGTTATCTTTATTAATTCAACATCGGTTGTCATGCACTAAACACTTTAGTAAACTTCAAGTTACCGTTTAATGGAGTATACTTTTTATATGCTACTTACTCTTTACGGAGCATAAGTGCTTTATGCGAATTCTAAAATATTATAGAACGTCGTAAGATATTTGTTCCAATTCTTTTTTGTTTTCTTTTTAGCCATTTACGAACGTCGTCAGGCCATTGTACCTGACTTTGAGGCGCTTCATCAACAAAGAAGGTTGTTCGTTGAAGCCAGATTAGCTGCCGCGGCTGCAGCCGGTCATACTGATGAAGGTGGTGACACTATGGGATCCGGTGGTCATGGAGGGTCAGTTAACGTGCATCAACAGTTAGATCACTCTTTACGTAGTAGTCAACGATCACCACTCGATACCAACTCTCATTATACTAGCTTGTTCGATACAGCGAATACAAATGTAAATGAAGGTGGTTTACGGCAACTTTATTTAAATCGAAGTCCAGACGATGAAGACAGTGGTCATATTTCTGGATCTGTTTCTAATAGTGGATTTGTGCCTGGTGATACTCAGCATTATGCTCGTGCAGCCGCATCTCGTGGTTATGTTGTACCAGGTGGTCCAGGCGGACTTTTACGCCATCGACAGCATACTCCATCTTCCGGAGTCTCTAGCATTTTAAACCGTCAGTTTAGAAGTGATGGAGCTTCTCGCATGGGTTCGTCAACCTTGATCAGAACTCTAATTAGTGATAGCCGTGAAATGGCTTCTTCCGTAATTAACGTTAACAATGAGCATCCCATGGCTCATAGTGATGATACAAATGATGAACTAGTGGATCCTGACGAAATTATTGGAGATCATGGTGATGATGAAGACGAAGATGACGATGATGACGACATGGAAGATGTCTAAACATTAATTCTAAAACTTAGAGACGATATTTTGCAATAATAACTTCTTTTTACCAAGTATATCTGTATCTATATTACGCAATTTTGTACATCAGATTTTTTCATGGTCATAAATAAAAGACATCAAAAGTTAAACGAATAGGGTTTCAAGATTTATGAATTTAGTTTATAATTATATGTTAATTATCTTATTTATTTCCTACTGAAATCTATGTATTTGCGTTCATTTTGGTGTATTTTACAGTTAATGGATAGCCCTTCTTGTTGTTTACATGTTCATTTCTTATTTTCCCTTAAATTAATGTTTACATTCACCCATAATAAAATTTTTGTATAGTATGTTATTTTCTATACAGTATGAATTAAGTTTAATCCTAACCAAAGTTTCATGTATGAAGTAATTGTCTCTATTAAAAACGTTAGTGATAATGTAGGATTGTATTGTGGCCTTGCTATGAAGTCTCAGTGATTCAGTTGATATTTCTATCAAGTAGGTCTCCTGGCTGTCTGTTTAACATTCAATTTATTGGTTCTTCGAACAGATGAAAGCCTGGTTTTATGTATACATTTAATTCTCTCATTAATGGGTTCCAGCAGAACTGATTACTATACATTCACATTATCTGTTACACTGCACATCATTCGGGCTAATAGCGATCTTAATTGGCATTTCGTTTCAGAACTGAATTATAATCTTTTACACACTATTTCATTCATTATCTCGTAAACGTTGATCACTTTTGCATTGTGAAATATTTTGTGAACATCATTTGTCACGTTAGTCAATCTTTCAGATGCCTAGATAAAATACTTGAAATTTTATCTGTATATTATGTATTCATATCCATGATACGATACTGACTTACAATCAAAGGGATAAAACAAGTAATAGCTGTCAACACAGTCAATGAATACAGTGGCTAGTTCAGTATAGCCTAAGAAATAATAATCACCCTATATAAGCAACTGCCAGACGGAAAATTGTGCAAGAAACTAGTAGCTACTTATAAGTAATACGGTTGGGACACAAATCATGAGGAGTACTCATCAGGTCAATCTCTACTGGCACCATAAAAATACACGAACCGAAGCGGGTAACAAACAATTTACTTCATTATTATGAAAAGAGCAGTTTCAATTCTGGATACTACTTGGGAATTAAACATTTCTTCACCAATGTATGACAAGGCAAACCAGTACACTTATCGAAAATCATGTGTTCAATAAGTTTTTTGAAAAATTTGCCTATTCCCTTTATTTCCATTGTTGATTTAAAACTGGGAATTTCAAAGTGACTCATTATAATTTATAAAAGCCCAACAATCCTAAACAGTAAAACAGGTGGATCATATCTCTTACATCCATACAAAGCGTTCCAAACATTACCGTGTTTTCTCTGGTGACATAAATAAAACTTAATCACTCATAAAAGGACCATGCCCTACTTTGCGGTCAACCCATGATAATCGAATCTGAAGGGTATCACTTTTGTTTTGATGATAAACTGGGATAAGATTTACGTTCATTGTAGAGCACCACGTTAGCTTAAATGAAATCAAAATTATGTAAAATTACTACAGATAACCCAAATTGGGACATTTATTAGGTACACTTAATAAGTAGTCTGATATCTTTTTAACTATCAGAGTAAACTGGGTAGAGTTGATGAAATATTTTAGCATGAATTAGTGTCTTTCAGTGAGTTTATGTCCACAGTTGTAATTCCCGTGTGTGACTGATACATGAAATGAATGAATACTTGATAAAGGGTACGTTATAAACAGTTGTGAAAGCTTTCCTTATGTTCATCTAATCAGTAGTGTGCATCTATTGACTTAAAGTTCTAGTACAACGGATTCTTCTTGATACATTAGATAGTGTTTTTATTCAATTACATTGATCTTAAGTTATTCAGTTAATATAGTAACAATTTATGTAAAGCATATGACTAGTGAGTTTAATGGTTTTTCGAAATTTCCAAGTAGTTTTTAGTACATACTGATAGCTGTAGAACTAATAGAAACCAGGGATACGTGAACAGTTGTTTCGGTTGAACTTGCTATCGTGCTCGTCTTTCTATTCCGAGTATAATATTGTTCGAGGCTGATGTACTCTATATGGCAATTTGTGACATGTGAAAATATAAATAATCAGGTGTCGACAACATAAAATACATATCTGCCTTTCATTATCATGAAAAGTATTTATCATCATACTGAGTGTTTATTCGGAAAGCAATTTCTAACATGGTCTGCAATATTTTGTATTTATAGATGAGCTTTTCTACAAAACAGTCAATGAATTCTGACGGACTATATCGACCACCTTGTAAGTATGGGAGAACTTGTTATCGAAAAAATCCTCAACACTTTAAAGAATTTTATCATCCAGGTTAGTTTTCCACATATGAATAGGAAATGATTGTGACCGGTACTTTTGGGATTATCAATTTAATTTATACTAGTTATGATACTCAACCTGACTGTTTATGAGTAATCTGATTCCCGGTCATTAATGATTTTACTTGGCTTTCGTTTAAATAAACTGTAACCATCTGTCTACACTTCTTCACATTGGATGCGTGCAAATCAATTCAAGTCATGCTATTCTGAATAATCTGAACACGTTATTTTTGGTGCAGATATCCAGTAATCTAATCACTCAAATTCTAACCATTTAGTCGCACGCTAAAATCTACATAGTCTGTTTTGTTCTATATGCATCTTGTTACAGCCAGTAGGTTTAATACATTATATAGTATATTGTCTCTTAGCTGAATTTGTTAAAATCGCCTTCTTTATTTTGTCCGTATTTCTATAAACTGACTTCCTAAATATTTTAGTTCTTATGGGTCAGTGAGAAGAAATAGTCTTTCACTGCTGTAAATACCCAGCTGGTTCGTTTGAAACGTTCTTATATGGTAAGTAGTCACAGAGTACAATTACACCCAATCAACTTGTAACAATTTTTAATGGCGATCAGAGACTTAGTTGTTTTTAAATAATTTCTACTCATCTTTGATTAACACCATGTATAAGGTTTTGTTACATAATACGATTTTTGAGTTTCAACCTTAATTAAATGTCTTAATGAAATGAGCTATTGTTAATTCTGGATTACGTTATACAGCTCTATTAGTATTGTCATAGTTATTTAACAGTTTGAATAAGCAACTTTTTACTTGTTTGTTACGTTGTGGTAATGAACTCATTGGTGTATTATCCCATACATTTAACAGATAATGAAGTATTGGTTGGGCATTATACCACAAGCACAAACAGCACCAAAGATTCAAAAGACATATCAACCAATGAAAATTTCTATGGCATTTATCTCTTTCGCGTATCTGGTGTAAAGTACGGTAGAATTCCTACTATAACCTTAAAGGGTAAGTTACTAACATTTTATGACACAGTAGTGAAGTTCACCATACGTTTCGTCTAGCTATAGTTCCTTACGTGAATGTATCTGAGTCTTTCGTGTTATCTATGATATTTATTTATTAGTCAAGATTTTCAATACCGAAGTTTAGTATCAAGATCTCCGAGATATCTATTAAGCTGTGTACAAATAACTCATCTGAAATTAGTTGACCAAATATAGTACAATATATCAATGTAATCGCTGCATGTAGCATATGAGTTCAAGTTGTTTAATCTGAAGCAATTAGAAATGAATTTAAACTATCGATTTTGTGGTTGAGTTTGATGTTCTGCCTGCACTGGGCTCAACAATATGGTTGACTGATGGGGAAATTTAATTGTAAGTCATTAACCCACCTCAAAGTTTCTCACCTATGTTGATTTCGTTTATTATTGTACTCTAGATGTACATCAATGGTCAGATTGATGACCGATTCTTAATTTCCTTAATAACGGGAAGTACTGATCTATCAGTATTTCTCCACAACTGACTTCGTGTCTTATTGCTATTCTTTTTTTGCAAGTTTGTATTGAAGTTGTCTTGTGTAACAAAAAATTTTTCAATAAAACTTCACTTCAACAATGTTCGTTAGAAGGCACTACTTACTTTTTGACTTGTTTACTAGGTGTGACCTTGTGTACTTGTCGATAAACTACATTTTAAATTAGAAGGCTAGGGATACCACCAGTTTGCTCAACCCAAAGTAGGTGGAGCGGGGCATGAAACTGAAACCTAATTAATAAAAGTCGAAGGCTTTAATAATCAAGCCACTGATCTACTAAAAAAGTGAATGGAAATTTACTTAACAATGTCCCAGTCTCTGAAGTTTTATATAATTAAATTAAAAGTGGAAATCAATCCATGTTAATGACATTATCAAGTACAGTAGTATCGAACTAATTTATAAAAAGTATCAGTAATCTTCATATCCCATTAAGTAATTTAAACCACTAGTGTTGACTGTTAATACTTGATCCTTCGGTCCGATAACAGCTATCTGGTGAGGTTGAGTTGTATTGAGTTCCTTTCCTACAAGGGATTGGGAACATTAACTGGTAAAGACCAGCCTTCGATTGGATCCCTACGTGATAGTATCTTATTTCCAGTGATATCTTTAGTTGTTATGATATAGAATTACGTAGTTCGTAATTTTTTATATGCCGTATTTTTTTTCCACTTCTATAGAAATTTTTAATTCCTCTGATGATGAACTTGTATCTTCAATTCAAGTAAGTTAAAATTTTCCTAACAAATATGATGAATGTGCTTTTAACTCAGTTTATTTTTCCAAAGCTTCTTTTTAATCATTTAACTGACCTTTGCTAATCATTTATTCTTTCATAGTCAAGTTCACGGAATAGTCTTAGTCAAACAACCTCTGAAGAACTGACTCAGTGTCCTAAAGGTTAGGCATTTGCTCGCTTGACCGAAGGTCCTAGATTTGATCCGTGATGGCGAGGTTGTGGACTCGCGCCACTGGGGAATCCCATACTTAGTCGTAAAAAAGGTCTAGTGGTTTCTGATTTTCAGTAGTTTAACTAAAACGTTCCCGTGATATTAACTATGCGATCGAAAAGAATCTCCATAAATCCTTATGGCATTTGCTGTTTTTTTTGAACCTTCGAACTTTATTTTCTTAATCATTCGGTGTACATGTTTAAAAAAATATTCTCAAAGTAAGCAAATGACATTATAGATTATAGTCAATTGTCGATATTATTTTTCAGAAATCACTGACTAGATATGTAAAGAATGTTTAGATTCTGAAATTCTAAATGTCAATGAACCTGTGGTTTTTAAGTATCTCATATTAACTTTTTAAAATTCATAAGTAATATATTCACTTATATTTGGATTAAATATATTGACAACTCTGTTGTTATTTTTTGGCTATGAAACATGTATACTGTAAAGTTGTTATCATATGTTGAAGTGTAAACCTATTTTCTTAAAAAATCAGCATTCTGCTTTAATTAATGTTACTTACTTACTTACTTACTTACGCCTGTTACTCCTCGTGAAGGAGCATAGGCCGCTTACCAGCATTCTCCATCCAACCCTGTCCTGGGCAATCCTTTCAAGCTCTTTCCAGTTCTTATTCATCTTTTTCATATCTGCTTCTATTTCCCGACGTAATGTGTTCTTTGACCTTCCTCTTTTCCGCTTCCCTTCAGGATTCCAAGTTAGCGCTTGTCTCGTAATGCAGTTTGATGATTTCCTCAATGTATGTCCTATCCATTTCCATCGTCGTCTCCTAATTTCCTCTTCCGCTGGAAGCTGGTTGGTTCTCTCCCACAAAAGGCTGTTGCTGATGGTATCCGGCCGATGGATGTTGAGTATCATGCGTAGACAGCTATTAATAAATACCTGTACCTTCTTGATGGTGGTTGTTGTAGTTCTCCAAGTTTCAGCTCCGTACAGTAGAACTGCCTTGATGTTAGTATTGAAGATTGTGACTTTGATATTGGTTGAAAGTTGTTTTGAGTTCCATATGTTCTTCAGTTGAAGGAATGCCGCTCTAGCTTTGCCAATCCTCGCCTTGACGTCTGCATCTGAACCTCCTTGTTTATCGACGATGCTTCCCAGGTATGTGAAGGATTCCACGTCTTCCAGAGTTTCGCCATCAAGAGTGATTGGATTGCTGTTCTCCGTGTTGTGTTTGAGGACCTTGGTTTTCCCTTTGTGTATGTTGAGGCTTACTGATGCAGAGACTGCTGCTATGCTGGCTGTCTTGATCTGCATTTGTTCGTGTGTATGTGATAGGAGGGCTAGGTCATCTGCGAAGTCCAAGTCGTCTAATTGGTTCTGAGCTGTCCATCGTATGCCGTAGTTTCCCTCAGATGTCGAGGTCTTCATAATCCAGTCGACCACCAGAGGAAACAGGAAGGGGGAGAGTAGACAGCCTTGTCTTACTCCGGTCCTTACTTGGAATGCGTCTGTCAGCTGTCCTCCATGCACTACTTTGCACTGTAGTCCGTCGTATGAGTTCCGGATAATGTTGACAATCTTCTCAGGAACTCCGTAGTGTCGAAGAAGTTTCCATAACGTCCTCCTATCTACACTGTCAAATGCCTTCTCATAATCAATGAAGTTGATGTAGAGTGACGAGTTCCACTCAATTGATTGTTCGACGATGATCCGTATTGTCGCAATCTGGTCTGTGCACGACCGGTCCTTACGGAATCCAGCTTGTTGATCTCGAAGTTGAGCGTCAACTGCGTCTTTCATCCTCTTCAGTAACACTCTGTTGAAGACTTTACCCGGTATTGACAGTAGTGTGATGCCTCTGTAGTTTTCACACTTGCTCAGATCTCCTTTCTTTGGAATCTTGATGAGGTGTCCTTCTTTCCAATCCATCGGCACTTGTTCCTCCTCCCAAATCTTCTTGAATAGAAGATGAAGCATGCTTGTAATTACTTCGATGTCTGACTTCAACGCTTCAGCTGGTATATTGTCGGGTCCTGCTGCTCTCCCGCTCTTGATTTGTCTGACGGCCATTCTGATTTCTTCTGTCGTTGGTGGATTGACATTTATAGGAAGATTTGTGTGTGCTGCCTCGATGTCCGGTGGATTCATTGTAGTCGGTCTATTCAAGAGTTCCTCGAGGTACTCTGCTATCTGTTCTGTTATTGTTGAATCTCAGTAATCGGTCTTTCTTCTTTGTCTTTGACTGGTCTCTCTGGTTTACTATGTTTCCCTGCTAGCTTCTTCGTTGTATCGTAAAGCTGTTTCATATTTCCTTCTCTTGCAGCTTTTTCCGCCGTCGTCGCTAGTTCTTCCACGTATTTCCGCTTGTCAGCTCTAATGCTCTTCTTCACTTGCTTGTTTGCTTCTATGGACTCAGATTGTGCTTGGACTTTCTCTGCTCGTGTTCGGCTGTTGTCAATTACTGTCTTCTTGTTCTTCCTTTCTTTGATCCTGTCCAGTGTTTCTATAGAGATCCATTCCTTGTGATGATGCTTCTTGAGGCCCAGAACCTCTTGACACGTTGAAGTTAATGCTTCTTTGATACCTTTCCAGTTATCCTCCATAGTAGTTTCTTCTTCCTTCAGTAGATCCTGTAGGACTTGGAACCTGTTGTTGAGAGCTACCTTGAATTCATTGAGTTTGTCAGTATCTCGAAGGAAGGCTGTATTGAACCTTTGTGGTGCTGTTTGTCCAGTTGTCCAGTTCTTCTTTAGCTTCAGTTTCAGTTTGGCCACAACCAGGTGATGATCTGAAGCTATGTCCGCTCCTCTCCTGGTTTTCACATCTTCCATTGTCCTTCGGAACTTTTTATTGATGCAAATGTGATCTATCTGGTTCTCTGTGGTGTGGTCCGGTGAGATCCACGTAGCTTTGTGTATACGTTTGTGTGGAAATGTTGTACCGCCTATGACCAATTTATTGAATGCACACAGATTTACAAATCTTTCCCCGTTTTCGTTTCTCTCTCCCAGTCCATGTAGTCCCATGATGTCTTCATATCCGGTGTTGTCCATTCCGACTTTGGCGTTTAGATCTCCCATCAGAATGGTGAGGTCCTTTCTTGGGCACTTCTCTATGATTGATTGCAGCCTCTCATAGAATTGATCTTTAACGTCGTCGTTGCTATCATTGGTGGGTGCATAACATTGGATAATGTTCATTGTGATCCCCTCCTTCTTTGTTTTGAATGATGCTTTGATGATTCTGGATCCGTGAGATTCCCATCCTACCAGTGCATTTCGTGCTACTTTGGATAGCATTAGAGCAACTCCCTGAGTGTGTGGAGCATTTTCCTCTTCGTGACCGGAGTATAGCAGCATCTCTCCCGTATTTAGCCTTTGTTGTCCAGCTTGGGTCCAATGGGTTTCACTGATTCCCAGTACTGCCAAGTTGTATCTCCTGATTTCCGTTGCTATTTGACTGGTCTTCCCGGTCTCCCACATTGTCCGGACGTTCCATGTACCTATAAAACTTGTTGCTCTGGTTGTTAGAAGGGGCATCGGCCTCGTGGCTTCCGAAGGAACTCGGCTTTCACCATGAAGCGTCATATTACCTCTAACTCCCAGGGCAGAGTTTAAATGGTTTGAGTTATTTTTTCTGGTTCGCGTTTTTTTAGCGAGTTAGGTTTTTACGGGATGGGGACGCTAACCCATGCCGAACCCTCCTCCTTTACCCGGGCTTGGGACCGGCAGTAACTCTGGAAGAGCTATAGGCGGAGTTTTTAATTAATGTGGTGAGACTTTAATTTGGGCGACGCTAAAATGACCTTGTTAGTGTTCACCTATTAACTAGGACCAAATGAGGGTTATAAACCAGTGTAAGGAATTAAAATTATGATTTACAGTTGATGGTTAGGGTTAGGAATTAGATTTAGGGTTTTCAGCTATAATGACAAAACTCTATTTAGCCAAACGGATGAGTAAATTTTGCGTCAAAATCCGAGACCTGTTATTTTATACCTGATTGGTTCGTCCATAAATTTATAGTTTCACCATTAACATCATAGTTATTAATATTAATACAATTGAGTCATTCAGTCCCATCGTCAAGATTGTTATTCAATAGGATCTAGTCAAAACTTATCGGTAAATAACTGGTCGTTGATTATAATTAATTACTAATAGAAATTATTGTCATTTTTCACTTATTTTATCGTTTAGCTTACGCATAGTTCGCATTTTTGATATGATATAGCAACTTCAAATATTTTGTTTCTTTCCGTTAATATTTTTAGTTTAATTATATGTTTGATATACCATGGCTAAGAGAACAATATCCTGAGCGCTTCAGGTTAGTATATACTATGATTTAAGTAGATTAGCAGGGTTTTTTTAAAACCAACATTTTAGTATTTACATTACCTTAAAAAATTTATACATTAGATTTAGTGATAATTTAGAATATCCTAAAACACATTTCTATATGATCTATGCTACTGAAGTAGTGATTGTTATCATGTACATTCAAATTTTTAATTGTTATTTATATCAGTTTATTTATTAATATTTCTTCCAATAATCAAGTTAGCGATTTTATTCAACTAATTAGTTAATGTTCATTTTATCATATAATTATTTTGTATTGAGATCATGAACTTCTAGACAAGTGATCTAAAAGTTAATCGTTCACACAAGACCGTGGGTCCTGAGTTGGAGTCCCGCGTATAGAATCATGGTTACGAACTTCTGAGGAGTTCCATACTAGGATAAAACAGCTGTTCAGTGCTTTCAGGTTTCAAATGTTGGTTTAAAATTTATTAATTCATGATCTCAATAAAAAGCTCAACAATCTCCACTACCGTATATTGATATAATTAATTTTTAGATAGGTACTTATATACCTAGATTATATTTATTTTGATCAATTCTAATGTAGTATTTATATGATTAATCCTTAAAGAAATTGTTTGTGTCGGAAGGGGTTTTGTGGAGATTTTAGTAATTTCAATAGTTGAGATCATGAATGAATTGAAGCCAGACCACCATGGAGAATCTGGGAGCACTGGACGGCCGTTTCGTCCTGTTGTGGGACTCCTCAGCAGTGCGCATCCACGACCGCGCCTTACGGGATTCGAACATAGGACCTACTGGTCACGCGCGTGAGCACTTAAACACTAGACCACTGAGCCGGCATTCAACGGCGTTAGTGTCTAACTTCAACCGGGTCAGTTGTGAGATAGTAACTCACTGATGACAATGGTGGATGTGTCGTTCAATTTCGTGGATCAGTGTTTAGGTGCTCGCGCGCGAGACTGATATGTCCTGGGTTCGAATTCCACAAACGGGATCGTGGACCCGCACTTCTGAGGAGTCCCACAATAGGATGAAACGGCCGTCCAGTGCTTCCAGGTTTCCTATGGTTGTCTAGCCTCAATTGACTCATGATCTCAACTATTGGAATTGTTGGTGGTTGAAAATGTCATTCAACTGAAATAAGTGAACTCTTAAGTATTAACTTATTTTTGATTTAGTTATTATTCGAATGTTATTTTACATTAATTAATTTTTTCCCTCAAAACACATTTTAGAATTTTTTTTGTTTTTCCTCATAGATCACTACCACTCACTATTGTACACGGTTTCCAAGGAAAAATGAAGAAATCATTAGATGAATCTGCTGCAAATTACAGTAATATACGAATTTGTCAAGTACGTGGTTTATGAATTCACTCAGAATATTTCTTTTAAGTTTTTAGTGGCCCGTGATCTGACTCCAATTTGATCGTAATGATTGGTTGCTATCGTCTATCCTCGTATATAATCATTGACTTAAATCGCGTTAGTTAATAACGGAATTAAATAAGTCAAATAACGAGAATGGAGTTTTGAATGCATATATTTCGTATAATTGTTGATTAGACAAACGAACGGAGGAACGACGCGAAGAGAAGAAAGCGAAGCAAAATTGACGAGCGGTGGAGATGGCTGGTAAGCCAACTCTCCCTTTAACAAAGAGTTAATCAATATTTATAAGCCCACAAAAATAAATTACAGACATGTGATGAGTAACGGGATAAGAAGTGTACATACGCCTACGCGCTCATACAAAGGCAGTCAAGACATTGATAAGCGAATAATTAACAAGGTCAGAATGTGACTCAAATAGAATGAGCTGTCCGAAAGTTAGAATAATAAGGTATTTGGGCTTAACATAATGACAGACACTTGAAGTTCTTATATCTATCTATTTGGTTACTTTTAAATTTAATTATTTTTATTGTAGATTCAGTGATTATTTAATTTACAATACAGGTTTGTGGAGATTACTGAATTTCATAGTTTTTATGACGGACTAATCTTAGTTAGACATCTGTAATGAACGAAAACTGAAGTACGATAAATCAATTTATTGTTTTATGTAAAATCATATAGTGCCTTTGTAAAATTTGGAGATTATACATTAAATACATCATTCGCATATCTTCGTTGAGTTGTTCTTTACATACTCTATCATTTTTCCAATTCTGTTGTTATTCCAATTGTTCGTCATTTAGTTCCCTGTTCTCTTTATTTCAATCTCCTTCTGATAAAAATTCCACTTCTTATTCCTGCTACATACTAATTATATGTGTCCATATAAGAGGTCGGTCGTGCACAGACCGAATCGCGACACTACGAATCAATGTTGAGCAATCATTTGAGTGCAACTCGTCACTATACATCAACTTAATTGATTATGAGAATGCGTTTGACAACGTGGATAGGAGGACCGTATGGAAACTTCCTCGGCACTATGGTGTACCTGAGAACTTCGTCAACAGCATACGGAATCCATACGACGGACTGTAGTGCAAGTGGTGCATAGAGGACAGCTGATAAATGCATTCCAAGTATGTACCGGAGTCAAACAAGGCTGCTTACTCTCCCTCTTCCTCTTTCTTCAGGTGGTCGACTGGACTATGAATACGCCGACATCTGAGGGGAAGCACGGAATACAATAGACAGCTCGGAATCATTTGAAGGATTTGTACTTCGCAGATGACCTGGCATACACACCAACAAATGCAGGTTCAGACAAACATTGTAGCATCAGTAGACCTCAGTATACACAATGTAAAAAGCAAGGTTCTCAAATACAATACAGCATCATCTATGAACAAGGATGATCGGATGCAGGCGTAAAGGCGAGGATCGGCAAAGCAAGGGTCGCATTCCTACAAGTAAAGAACACATGGGTCTCAAAACAACTGTCAACCAATATCAAAGTGAGGATCTTCAACACGAACAGTTTTATTGTACGAGGCTGAAACATGGAGAACTACTACAAGTATTTATAAACAGTTGTCCACGCAAGATACTCAATGTCCGTTGACCGGGAACCATCAGCAACAGCCAACTGTGGGAGAGAACAAACCATCTTCTATCTGAGAAGATGAGGAAAAGACTATGGAGTTGGTGGATAGGACATACATTGAGAAAATCACCAAACTGCATCACGAATCCTGAAGGGAAACGGAAAAGAGGAAAGCCGAAGGACACACTGCGTCGAGAATTGTAAGCGGAAATGAAACGGATGGATTATTATTATTATTATTATTATTATTATTATTATTATTATTATTATTATTATTATTATTATTATTATTATTATCATTAATGGCTTTATTCAATATTATATTTTGGGACAATATAGATCTCTCAACACAGGGTATTTCAACAAGTTTCCTTCACAACAGTGAAGAAAAGGGAAAAGGTGAAAAAACCTGAAAACGTACAACTTTCTAAATTAGAGAATGCAGGTAGCAATACACAATAGCAACTGGATAGGACTGACTAGAACAGGGTTGAATGGAGAGTGCTGGTGGTCTGCTTATGCTCCTCCACGACGGGTAACAGACGTAAGTAAGTAAGTACATAAGAGGCGCACACCACACAACCACTGGCGCGGTGACCTAAAAGTTTAGGTGTTTGCTGTGATACTTGGAGGTCAGACTCGGCCAGACTGTCCTGCCCTCCATTGCTGATGACGACTGATCCATCAAATGAGGCGGAAGTCCGCAAGGAACTCCAACTCTTAAAGCGCGGATGACTTACCTCCGGCTCTTTTTAAAGATGGTGGTGACTCTCTGGCTAAGGAACTGACTGTGTTGATTACAAAGGTCTGGGAACTAGAGAGTGTACCAACTTCATGGAATGAGTCAATAGTTATCCGTATCTTTAAAAAGGGTTCACGTCGTTCCTGTAACAACAACTGTTCTCTGGGATTGTCTATTGAAGAAGTGTGTGCCTGAGAAGTTTATTAACAACTTAAAGGCCTTATATACAAACACCTCAGGCAGAGTGAGGGCATACAACCACCTCTCTCCATTATTCCATTCGAGCAGTGGGGTTAGACAGGGTTGCCCAATCTCACCATTCCTCTTCAACTTTGCCATCGATGACATTCTGGAAACAGCTCTGATGGATGTAAGTAATGGTGGTGTGGATCTGTTGCCTGGAGAAAGACTTCTCGACTTTGAGTATGCAGATGGTATTGTCTTACTGTGCGACGATACCCAAGCCATGCAACCCACACTTAATCAGTTGGCAATCAGTGTCCATAGGTATGGTATGTGCTTTGAACATTCGAAGTGCAAAGTACTTCTAAAAGACTATCAAGATTCTAATCATGTACTCACCCTGGGTGGTGAGCAGTTAGAAGTAGTGTATCTAGGTAGCTACATAAGTGCTGGTGGTGGCGTGAGTGATGAGATCAATGCACGTATAGTGAAAGCCAGAGCGGCTTATGCCAATCTGGGCCATCTTTAGTGCCTTCGTGATGTTAGTCTAGCTGTAAAAGGTCGGATCTAGAACGCGGCGATGAGAGCAGTCTTGCTCTATGCTTGTGGAACCTGGCCTCTCAGAGTTGAGGATGTTAGACGACTCTCTGTGTTTGATCATCGTTGTCTCCGAAGGATTGCTGACATCCAGTGACAACACCATGTTAGTAATGCAGAGTTTCGGCATCGTGTGTTTGCACGCAGAGACGATAATGCAATTGGTGTCACCATCTTGAAACATTGACTTCGGTGGCTTGGACATGTTCTACGAATGTCGTCCCAGAGAATTCCTCGTTGTGGATTATTTGCCGACTCTGGGACTGGTTGGAAAAGGCGGAGAGGTGGTCAGTGTATGACATGGTGTCGTGGTATGAAAGAAAGCTGCAAAGGGCTAGCTTCTGTTGGTCCTTCACGACTCCCTGGTTGGGGTCCGAGAGATGATGTAACACAGTGGCTAGAGACGTTATCAGATATGGCTCAGAATAGAAGCCAGTGGCGATCGTGCTGTAACCTTCTTTTACATTCCTCATAAAAAGTGGTTGCTCCTTCCTTAACTGAAAGATTTCTTCTGATTGTACCTTTCCGTTTCCCCTATTATTGTTCTCTCTCTCTCTATTTTTTTATAATTCCCTACGTTCACTACTTTTTTTTCTCCTTCTTTTTAAATTCTCATTGTTTTGTATGGAGCATATATACTCACCACCCAGGGTGAGTACATGATTAGAATCTTGATAGTCTTTTAGAAGTACTTTGCACTTCGAATGTTCAAAGCACATACCATACCTATGGACACTGATTGCCAACTGATTAAGTGTGGGTTGCATGGCTTGGGTATCGTCGCACAGTAAGACAATACCATCTGCATACTCAAAGTCGAGAAGTTTTTCTCCAGGCAACAGATCCACACCACCATTACTTACATCCATCAGAGCTGTTTCCAGAATGTCATCGATGGCAAAGTTGAAGAGGAATGGTGAGATTGGGCAACCCTGTCTAACCCCACTGCTCGAATGGAATAATGGAGAGAGGTGGTTGTATGCCCTCACTCTGCGAAATTGATACAGTTTCTGATTTTGTCTAGAATAAACTTCATCTAAGAGCCTGTTATAGTTTGTTATTGCGGTCCTCGTTTTCAGTTAAACGTATCTTCACAATGAATGAAGTTCAACTACGTCGTGTTTTCGTTTGAAGTGCATCCTTTATTATTTCTTATCTACCTGAATATTATATGATTTACTTCCCAATAACTATAATTTCGTAAAATATTAGATATACATATATACAATTGCTTTTCTATGGTTGTCTTTTTTATTCCTTTTTCTTTCAAGGCCCATATACGTTTGCCATACGGTACACATCATACGTAAGTTGGTTATAACAAACAGTTGTCTCAGTTAAAAAGTTTGTATTACTAAATGAATAAAATCTTTTCCAAGTTAATGTTCGTTTAGTAAGTAAAGTATAGTTTGTTAAAACTTATTTTCGGTATCAGTAAAGCTGTGATGAAATTAGGTACTATCATCTTTTGGTATTCAACTATTTGAAATAGCGTATTATTGATCATAGCATCCTTGGAAACGAAATCGGTCTTAAAATGACCAAAATTAATAAGTTTAATTGAAAGTGGTCCATCTTTGACACTTCCATGGCATCAAGCTGCCGTACAATAAATATCTCATTGCGTACAGTTTTCTGTGTTTCTTCACTGTTGTTGTCATAGTATTGCTTGCATTCAATGGTGATACCATATTTGCAACAAGGTGGTCTGGTCACATATTTTCAGTTGTAGTGGGGATTGGTTATCTGATAGTGTGACTGACTCGTGTGCAGTTTACTGATTTAAGTCTTATACATAATACCTAACAGAGTTTGCACGAATCGTCACTGTGGATACCAATAATATTTCTTTAATCTATATATTTCTAAAATAATGACAATATATGTAACATGTTATGTGTTTATTGTGTGATAAGTAAATGAAGCAATATGATGAGAATGGAGCAGTATTTTGAACAATACTAGCTCGATGCATCAGATGAGTAGTTATACACAACATTATAACTTATAAGAGATAGATTATCGACGTATTTTACTGATAAGCAACTGACGTTTAAATTAATATCATACAGATTCATAAGGACTGGAGCATTGAATATGGATTTTTAATCGACTGCGTTTTCTGATCACGACATATGACAAACAGGTATCTTACAGCATCAAATTTAGAAATATTGATACATGAGACAATAAACAGTACTATTCCTTGACTTTATTCATTCATATGTGCGTTAATCTTTAAGTACCATTTCTACGTCTGTAGTTCTTCTAGAGTTACTGCCCATCCCAAGCCCAGGTAGAGAAGGAGAGTTCAGCATATGTTCAGCATCTCCATCCCGTAGAAAAAAATCTTGCTAAAAAAACCAGAATAGACAAATTAAACAATTTAAACTCTGCTCTCTGAGTTGAAGGATCTTCATTCAGATTACTTATGACGCCTCATGATGAAAGTCGATATTTTTTGGAAGTCACGAGGCCGGTGCCCCGTCTAACAACCAGAGAATCAGTTAATATAGGTTTATGGAATGTTCGAACAATGTGAGAGACCTGAAGGACCAATCAAATAGCAAGTGAAACCAATTGAATCCAATTGAAACTGCAAAGATTAGATTCGGGAGAGATGTTATTGTACTTTGGTCATGGAGAAAAAAATACTTTTCATACTCAGAGAGTTGCTCTGATACTGTAAATTTTTTATGTGCCAGTCATGTTGAAAGTACTTTTTCGAGACGATTAGTGCGAACATTATCTTCAAAGCTTCTGCTTGTTTAATTTTAGAAAAATGATGATGCTCAAATATAAAAATGGTTTAAAAATTATCATTCATACAGCGAATATGATATCAGATGATTGGGATCGAAGAACTCAAGGGTAAGATAATATTGTAGAAAGTGGTTTATTAGTCAACAAAAATTATGGTTAGTGGTTTTGATATTGGATGTATCCTTTAGCTATATAGCAAACTCCTGTAAATATGTTTTATATTATACAATCTCTTATAGGTTGTTGAATCATGGTTATTAGCTAATTTATCTTCAGCAGTCAGTTTTTTTCGTCCACTAAGTCGGAATGCGGTACGGTAGCATGTTCACAGAAATCAACTATATATATTTAAAACGATGTCTACAGTGAAAATCATACCCTTATATGCAATACTGACACATTAGATGATTGGAAAATGTTAGATATTGCACTCTTATTGAACATTGAAAAAGGTTGGTTACCCTCACACCTAATTTTGAACATCTCCGCATCAACCACTTATTCAATGTCAATGTATCAACATTTATCGTTATACGCTTATAAACTATCATTGTTCTAGTCTGTAGAAAAACTTCAGACTAATTAAGTTTATGTTAATATACTTCATTTTAATTTATAATGTCGCTTACTTTTCTGTGAATTATAAATATGATTTAACAACACTATCCCTCGTTAAATGATTGGTTGATTGACTGCACTTTTATTATTTTGTTGTAGTTTATTAAAAGAACCGAATTTCTGAGCATGTTTAGACATAGAAGTGTAAGAGTTTCATTGAGTTTGACCATCGGATATATCAAATCAGGCATTTACATTAATAATTATGCCATTGTTTGATTAAGAAAAAAATAAAGATTAGTTTTTAAAAAAAATTCTATTTACTTATTCAACTGGTATTCGCGTTTGAGCCACACTCGAAATGTAAAGATTAATGATACTACTCGATTGATTAAACTCGAATTAGATGTTCATACCTGGAATGACTGTTGATGTTATTATCCTTATGCTTAAGTTATATCCATACAGTCATTTTAGAATTCACTTTTTATTATTTTACTTTTGAGAATTTGGATTAGCCCGAAATTAAAGTTATTAAGTATAGAACAACTGAAGAACTTGAATGACACAGATTCGAGAACTAATTTTCGTGCAGATCTACTTGAGTACTTAAAATCATATGGGAGTGATTTAACCCAGTCAACCAGTTCACCTTTATTTGAATGGATTAATTGTTTGCACAGTTATGATTTTCGACCAATTAAGTAAGTGTTTTGGTAACTTGTAATTTAACAAAAATCATATGAATGTGTCTTGTGAAATTTGCGTTTTTGTGCTTAATTCATGTATATTTATTTATTTATTTTATACTGTGCAACTGAAATTTGATGTTGTTTCCTTGAAATGGATCACAGTTATTATTGTCAAACATGCTAACGCCATTAGTTCTTTATTTATAAATTAATTATTGTTTTTATCCCTTATGGAAAGGAAATCACAACACCTCTAGAAGGAGTACTAATATGTTAGAGATGTAAATCTATGACCTGAATTTAATATAAAAATTGTGTGAAAGGTTATGTATTGATTATGATTGTGAAGTTATCCATCCGTTTTTTAATGTCCAACAAATGTACGGTATCCAGCACTTTGAGTATTTTTCCATTCGTTTAGTTGGTGAGTGCTGTAATAAGAATGTAATCTTAACTGAAGCATCTTAAGGTAACCACATCTGTCTGCTATGAGTACACCAATGTAGTGTATCCTAACATGGCATATGTAAAAAAAACAATGTGAAAGTTAGGTCTTCAAGTGAAGTCTACAGTGAAATTACACTTTTATATGCAGCACTCACTCACTGAATGAATGGGGAAATGCCTCAAAATCCTTATTACTGAACACAGTGAAAAATAGATACTTAACGTACCCTGAACTTCATTGAGTTAATTTTACTAATAATTCAATGTGGACCTTATCCTTTTATTTTAAATGAACTTTACTGTATTCTAGGTTATTTTTAATTTGATTTGCTAATTCTTCGAACTTACAATCACTGGATTTTACCGGTATATAACTAAATGAACTCATATGTATTGAAATCTTGTTCAATATTTACCTGATAGACGTTCCTTGTACAAATATTTTTTAGAACAGTCGGGGCTATGAGAGAAGGAAGCTTTTATTGCAAAAGATATCATAATGACTGTTCCCATACTCTCTCATACTGTATATCATTATTATTTGGATCAACGCTACGTTGTTTAATTGATATTTTTCCCGTTTGTATCCACTGTTAGTTCTTATTCGTTAAAATAAGGGAAGATATTTTGTGAAGTCTCATCACGAACAGGTGACAGAGCATAAAACGAAGAACTAAGTTGTAGTTTGTGTTCCTTGCAGTTATTATAATTTATGACAGGTAATTTTCTATGTGTATTTCAATCTACATGGTATCTCTGTAATTTAGTTTCTAAAGGGCTTTCATCAGCTACTCTTTTAATGACATGTTACCAAGTTCTACGTTGCTCTCTGACTGAGTAGTCATAAATGAGTTTCCGTATACTTTCAAAATGTCCATCCAAAAATTGTTTATTCAACTAATTCTGCTGGATTATTCGAAAAATAAGATCTTTCTCAACAGTAGTCATTGCACTGAGAACAGTTTTTACAGTTTGTGGTTAATGAACTAGTTTGGAAGTTTCTAAAAACCTAAACCAACAAAATAATTAAAGTATATGATGAATTATTGTAGTAACCAGTAGTTTGCAGGGAAAAATAGTATCATCAACGTTTGTTGTGTAAAATGCTTTATCTTCTACGTATTTTTTTTTTTCGTTTTTTAAAGGGTTGTATTAATTGCGTCAGTCTCCGGAAGACATGTTGGCGAGTCACTAAACAAATTTGGTCATCCACGTTTAGGAGAGGTATGACCGCTATATTTATAATGAGTTTGGTATAAATATGAAAGTATGAAGTGAATATTTATCAATCCTTTTAGTAAAGTAGACATTTTTATTAGTTATCATTTCCTACTTGTTACATCAATAATAAGTATGATTTGACTAGGCAGTGCATATCGTTCAATACATTGCCTCTATAAAGCATGATCATTTTATTTAGTTGGAATGTAGTTTTTTTTCAATGTTTGATCATTATTATGTTTGCTTAACTATTCGAGTTCGATACAGTCTCTATAGTATCAAAGTTAAGTACTATGTTTTTTGTTTCTTCTATCCACTAACTTTAATTGTTTACCCTAACGATATTGAATAATTCACGGGCGTAAAATGATGTTATGCACCGTCATATAAGTTTGTAATCAGTAATTTCTATGTTGTCCTAACAAATATAAAACTGTGGTCAATGAACATTTCTTTGTACTGATAAACACTTTGGTCTCGGTACCTTTTTTTCTTTCACACTAGGTATTACACACATGTAATAGTCAAATACCTTCGTCTTGGCCAGTGATTGGCCAGTTTTCAAGCATTGGTTCTTTAGGTATTAAACCTACCGATTGGTTTACCACTGAGTGGTCATCAAGTTTAGCCGGTAAAGGTGCCAGAGGCTTACGAATGGTGAGTATGATCACTATTTTAGCATACTTTTGTATTAAAGATTTGATTTTATTCTCTTAGTCGGTTTTTTTCTTAAAATCACAGCATAAAAGTTTTTATCTTGTTTCTTCAAGTATATTAAATCACTGCTTTTTTGTCTACATTTATACACATCGTATTTTCCAGTGATGAGTTCTCAATAACCCTATGGATAATGTATGCGGTATGACCACGATCATAATCGGCTTAAAATATTTCGGAATTGTAATGAAATCTAATGACTATGAGTTCCTAGTCATTTGAGTCATTCTAAATATTATGTGATATATATGAATGAGTTTTTCGCCTGTCAAATGTTAGAGGATGTTATTGTACCGATTTGTATGGAAAACTGATTTGGAATAGAGGGTGATATTTTCGAGTTTGTGGCCTTGGCATATCAAACCCGATGGTCAGCACTGATACCAATTGTTCATTTGTTTTTGTCTTAATAAATCACTTATAGTGCTGGTGAAAATATTGAGATATATCCAGCTCAGTTTTACTCTGTGGTTTTGGCATATATTCATTATGCGTGGAACACATATCTTGATCCCTCCTGTTTCCTCCTGCATAATTCTTAACAGTGTCTGGATTCTTTTGATCATATCTTCAATTTGAGCATCGTTTAAAGATCATATCACTCTATAATTATCAGTAAACTTACAGCTCATCTAACCAGCTTCCAAATCGGAATGAATATTTTTTATCTGATTATAATTGAATTTCAGTCGTTTGTTTGAATAATTGGATGGTCATAAGTAATTATTGCTTTTAAACATTATTAAACAGTAACTTCTTATACACAAAAAATAATCAAGATTTTAAAATATATATATATATATATATATATATATATATATATATATATATATGATTCTGTTTCTTTTTACGATATGCGCTATTTAATTTCTGCCTGTTATGGTATACATCTACAGATTTATCCGTGTGTTGAAAATGTTCGTAATAGTTTGGAAGGTTATTTTGCCGGTGGATGTTTACCATATACAAAGAGAACAGCTGAAAAACAACCATGGCTTTGTCAGTTCTTTTATCGTTGGCAAGCTTTTGAACATAGTCGATCTGCTCCTCACATTAAGTCATACACTAGGATGTCACCAGATGGTCAACAAATAGGATGGTTTCTTCTAACTAGGTAAGTAATTTCAATGAATGTAAATTAACTGTTTAAAAGTTTAACACTATAAGCTGACCTACTAAACACAAGGTTTTTTGTAATAAATGTGTTTGCATTTTAAAAAATACGAAGAAATTAGATTATCGATTCGGTGGGCTATATTTCTTTATCTCATTGAAATCATGAACCGATCAATGTTAGACCACCATTGAAAACCTGGAAGCACTGAACAGTTGTTTCGTCGTAGTATGGGACTCCTCAACAATGTACATTCATGTTCCTGTACGTGGGATCCGAACTCTCAGGACCTTCAGTCCCGCGCGCGACCGCTTGACTTCGAGACCCTTGGACCAGCATCCAATGGTGTCTAACTTCTTTACCTCCAAATGTTACATCTCTTGATAAAGATATCATCTGCGATGGAATCGCTCACTAACACTAACAAATTCTAGAATACAATTTATTACAAATATTTAGAGAAAAATTAATGACTTAAAGTTAACTTACAATTTCTGTAATTGAAGTTTTTACTTTATCTCGTAAAACGTTTAGTTACTTCAAGAGATTAAATCGTAAACTATGATTTAGAAATAATTCTGCTCTTTTTCTAAGTGAAATCAAATGATTTTCAAGTCATTATTCATTAGAATAGATTAGTGTTTAAGGTTTGCAAATATATATGTATCCCTTGTGGTGTCCATACAATATAACTGATCAACCATATATTATGTCCATTTTCATATAGAATAATTATTTTACTCCTGATACGAATGTCTCTATTGTTCTTTGTTCTACTACCTATTTAGAGTAGTATTTTCGTAGCAGAATCATTCCGAAAAAAATAGGTAACAAAAGACGACTGTTAAATATCCCATATGATAAACAATCATATCTTCACTAGTTATTTTGAAAAGATTATGATAGTTTAGTCTTCACATTGTAACTTGTTTACTTTGTTAAATAGACAGGTACACATCCTCAAAACCTGGATCAAAAAGTTTGAATTATGTTATCCATAAATATGACATCGAATATGAATTGATCGAGTAATCTCTGTCAAATTTCTAGTAAAATATGTTCGTTTTTTATGACAGTGACTGTTAGTATGACATGATAAAAAAACTAGTTTCAGAATTTTATTTATGTTTAGGTATTGAGTATTGGTAAATATGTAATTGCTAACTAAATTAGGCATACAAACTAGAAAATGTTGATTCTTACATTCCCTACTATTATCCTTTATGATTTATCAATAGACATATAATGGCAATCAGAACTTTCAACTTTGAACATCAAGGAAATTGTATAAAAAAATCATAGTTTTTGCATCCAAACTATTTCCGTATGTTATCTTTATTCTGATCATTTACCTTATCAAATGATTTATACAAGAGTAGTCAAGAGATATAAAAGTGACTCTCCACGCCCAATTGTCACTTTTCATCTTCTCTAGCGTAATAGCATTTTTGATTTATTCCTTTATTCTAGTTTCATTAAACTTTACAAATTGTCTTGAATTGCACAGTTCTATCTTTATTAGTTATTACGTCACCTATTGATAACTTGTTCTAATTTATTTCATCGACAAACTTTAATATTCTATTGTCTTAAGTTTACTGAATCACTCTTTTTATTACAATACTTTTAAATTTACTCGTACTGCTCACTATTGTGGAGTTCCATACTAAGGCAACATGACCGTTCATTGTTTCCAGGTTTTAACAATGATCTAACTAAGATCAATTCATATAATTTAAACAATGAAAATATTATTTATTTTATAAAACAATGTATTCAGTGGAAGAATCTTTTGCAATAAGTTTATATTCAAAGTCATGTAATCGCATACTTATACGATAAATTATGTCATCAAATAATTTCTTTTTTAGAATTTTATTAGTTGTTTTTTTTAAATTTGACAACATAATATTGAATAAACAAATATCTGTTACTATGAGTATCATCAATTTGAAATGAATGAAATGTATGTATGTAATTAAGTAATTTGAGTAGAAACAACGTTTGTATTGATGATAACAGCGAGAAAAAAATTAACTTTCTTTTTATAAACTTAGGAGTAACGAAATAAATAAAGAAGGAAACAGTTACATACTTACTTTTGCCAAATACTTACTTACTTACGCCTGTTACTCCTAATGGAGCATAGGCCGCCGACAAGCATCCTCCAACCCACGCTGTCTTGGGCCTTCTTTTCTAGTTCCATCCATTCCTTGTTCATTTTTCTCATGTCTATCTCCACTTCCCGGCGTAATGTATTCTTTGATCTTCCTCTCCTCCTTCGCCCTTGAGGATTCCATGTGAGGGCTTGTCTCGTGACGCAGTTCGGTGCTTTCCTCAATGTGTGTCCTATCCACTTCCAGCGCTTCTTTCTGATTTCTTCCTCCACTGGGATCTGATTTGTTCTCTCCCACAATAGGTTGTTGCTTATAGTGTCCGGCCAACGGATCTGAAGTATTTTGTGTAGACAACTGTTAATAAACACCTGTATCTTTTGGATGATAGCTTTCGTAGTTTTCCAGGTTTCCGCCCCATACAGTAGAACTGTCTTGACATTTGTATTAAAAATTCTGACTTTGGTGTTGGTTGCCAATTGTTTTGAGTTCCAGATATTCTTCAGTTGTAAATATGCTGCTCTTGCTTTGCCAATCCGTGCCTTCACATGTGCATCAGATCCACCGTGTTCATCGATGATACTGCCCAAATATGTAAAGGTTTTTACATCTTCCAAAGCTTCTCCGTCAATTGTGATTGGATTTGTACATGCTGTGTTGTATCGAAGAATCTTGCTTTTTCCTTTGTGTATATTGAGACCTATTGCTGCTGAGGCTGCAGCTACACTGGTTGTCTTCTCCTGCATTTGTTGTTGCGTATGCGTTAGAAGAGCCAGATCATCTGCGAAGTCTAGATCATCCAATTGCATCCTAGCTATCCACTGTATCCCGTGCTTCCCTTCAGATGTTGACATCTTCATGATCCAGTCGATCACCAGGAGAAAGAGAAAGGGTGAGAGTAAGCAACCTTGCCTGACACCGGCCTTTACTTCGAACGACTTTGTCAACTGTCCTCCATGCACGATTTTGCAGTTTAATCCATCATAGGAATTCTGTATGATATTGACTATCTTCTGAGGCACGCCGTAGTGTCGAAGAAGCTTCCATAGTGTTGTTCTGTCCACGCTATCAAATGCTTTTTCGTAGTCGATGAAGTTGATATAGAGTGGTGAATTCCATTCAATTGATTGTTCCACAATGATCCGTAGAGTTGCGATTTGATCTGTACACGATCTATCCTCACGGAATCCTGCCTGTTGGTCTCGAAGTTGGGCGTCTATGGAGTCCTTCATCCTGTTTAACAATACCCTGTTGAAGACTTTTCCTGGTATTGAGAGAAGAGTGATTCCCCTGTAGTTGTCACGGTTGCTGAGATCGCCTTTCTTTGGTATTTTGACCAGAAGTCCTTCTTTCCAGTCTTTTGGTACCTGTTCCTCATCCCAGATCTTTCTGAAGAGAGTTTGGAGTATCCTTGCAGTTGCCGCTACGTCTGCTTTCAGTGCCTCTGCTGGAATGCTGCCCAGTCCTGCTGCTTTGCCACTCTTGATTTGTCTGATAGCCATGCTGATTTCTTCAATTGTTGGTGGGCCAACATCGATTGGGTGGTCCGTGAGTGCTGCTTCGATGTTGGGTGGGTTCAGTGGAGCTGGTCGATTCAAGAGTTCTTTGAAGTGTTCTACCCACCTGTTTCGTTGTTCTTCAATGTTGGTGATTATCTTGCCTTCCTTGCTTTTCACTGGTCGTTCTGGTTTACGGTGATTTCCAGAGAGTTTCTTTGTTGTTTCATACAGTTGTCTCATGTTTCCTTCTCTGGCAGCCTTTTCCGCCGTCAATGCCAAATCTTCGACATATTTACGTTTGTCAGTTCTGATGCTCCTTTTCACTTGCTTGTTTACTTCTGTGTATTCAGCCTGTGCCTTGACTTTTTCTGCTCTTGTTCGACTGGTATTGATTGCTGCTTTCTTGTTCCTCCTTTCTTGAATCTTATCCAGTGTATCGACCGTGATCCAATCCTTGTGATGATGCTTGTTTTGGCCCAGAACCTCATGACATGTTGAAGTGATTGCCTCTTTTATCTCTTTCCAGTTGCTCTCCATAGTAGTTTCTTCTCCATTGAGTAGATCATGAAAGGCTTGGAACTTATTGCTGAGGGCTACCTTGAATTCATTGAGTTTGTCAGTATCCCGAAGAAGAGCCGTATTAAATTTTTGTGATATTGTCCTCCCCGTTGTCCAGTGCCTCTTGAGTTTCGATCTCATCTTGGCGACCAGCAAGTGATGATCTGATGCTATATCAGCTCCTCTTTTGGTTCTCACGTCCTCGATCGTCCTCCTGAACTTTTTGTTGATGCAGATATGGTCAATTTGGTTTTGCGTAGTGTGATCCGGTGAAGTCCATGTGGTTTTGTGAATGCGTTTATGTGGGAATATAGTCCCGCCTATGACCAGTTTATTGAAGGCACATAGATTTACAAATCTCTCACCATTTTCGTTCCTTTCTCCGAGTCCGTGTCGTCCAATGATCTGTTCATATCCGGTGTTGTCAATTCCAACCTTGGTATTTAGGTCTCCCACCAGAATAGTCAGGTCTTTTGTTGGGCACTTCTCGATGATTGACTGCAGCCTATCGTAGAATTGATCTTTAGCGTCTTCGTTGTAGTCATTGGTAGGCGCGTAGCATTGGATGACGTTCATTGTAATGCCCTTTTTCTTTGTTTTGAAGGAGGCTTTGATGATCCTTAGTCCATGAGATTCCCATCCTATAAGTGCATTTTGTGCTTGTTTGGACAGCATCAATGCAACTCCTTGTGTATGTGGTGCATTTTCTTGTTCATGTCCGGAGTATAACAGCAGCTCCCCTGAAGCTAGTCGTTGTTGTCCAACTTGCGTCCAATGTGTTTCACTGATCCCAAGCACCTCTAGGTTGTATCTCCTCATTTCTGCAGCCATTTGGAAAACTCTCCCAGTCTCCCACATTGTACGAGCATTTCATGTACCTAAATAAATAGTTGCTCTGGTAGTCAGAAGGGGTATCGGCCTCGTGACTTCCGAAGAAACTCGGCTTTCATCATGAGGCGTCATAATTCTTCTAAATGAAGACCTGACTCTCAGGACAGAGTTTAAATGGTTTGAATAATTTTTTCTGGTTAGCGTTGTTTTAGCGAGTTATTTTTCTACGGGATGGGGTCGCTAACCCCATGCCCAACCCTCCTCCTTTATCGGGGCTTGGGACCGGCAGTAGCCCCCGGAAAGGGACTCCAGGCGGAGTTAAACATTTACGTAGATAAACTGAAATTACAAGCTAAGGCTATCGTACAGAGAGAAATATGATAAATTGTTTTTTTACGCTCAACTTGGGTTTTAAATTTTGTATGACCAAAGTTTCCGCAGTATAAAGTAGGTTAAGGCCTACATCTCGTGACATATTTAATTGAATTTTGTAAATGATGCCAAAGAATGAGTGAAGGACGAATTGTTCTGTATCTAATAATTGTCGTACAATCGATGACGTAATTAACTTACGTTGATCTTTACTAACCCACACTACTTAATGCCCCCAAATATAACAAATAGAAGTGACCTCTATCTCAGTCAGTCATAATCAATTTAGAGCTTGGCAAACAAGTACTCTGGTCCAAGTTTGGATACTACATTAGCACGACAAGATGGAAAATGTATGAATAGATGAAGGGATCCAAATTATGTAGTAACAACATTGGTCATGTAAACTCTATACGAAGATATCAAAGATTGCGAGGGGGGTAAGGATGATTCTGAGTCATCCCACCCAATGTGTGGACTCCAAACATGTAGTCAGCATTTACCAACATAGCTCTAACCAACAGTCAATAACTTTATGGACTGATGCTATGTCCTCGTTTGTCTGTTCACTACTGTATCAGCAAACATTACCTGTCGTGGTAAGTAGTGATTAACCATATGATTCACTTACTTACCTAGTTGTACAATAGTTAGTGAATCGGTATTATTTATTTTATTATTTATTGCAATACCTGTATATTGGTGTAAATCCATTTTGTATAACCAATTGAAAATAATCTTCTATTCATTCAATCCATTGACGTTATTTTTTTTAAAAAATCGGTATTTTTATTTACTTTTAACTACAAAAAACATTTTGTCTAAAGTAGAATTCACTAACCTAAATTCAACATGATGTGTTATTTTGAAATGTATCAACTAAACAAATCGATTTTAACTTTTGATGCCCATTTTTTTTTCGCTTTATATTTGATAGTGCAAATCTTTCAAAAGCTGCTTGGGGTGCCTACGAAAAATCAAAAACTCAATTGATGATTCGTTCATATGAACTGGGTGTGCTGTTTTTGCCAACAAATTACAAGGTTGGTGTTTGTTTTCCTCTTTTTGTTTTTCTCAAGCTATGAGTTATACGGTTTATGGGTTAGCCTTTGTGATTTGTAAGGGGAAAATTGATAAATTGAATAATAAGAATTTTCATTTTGAACCAAAAAGATAAGTACTATTGAATGAAACATTTTCTAATGATTCCTTGAATAACAGTAAGTACGTTTGTTTTATACTATCGAGTAATTATTATTTATTTGTAATATCTTGTTTACATATATACACATAGTTGACAATTGGATCTACATATCTGCCTAATTTTTGTCATTGTTTACTGGAAACAAACAGGAAATAACAAGAAATGACGTTTTGATTTAAGCTTTTATTCTAACATGAATGTCAAATTTAGCTTTAGATTTTTTCTGTTTGGTATTTACTTGATAGGAGTGTCTTTTGTCGAGAATTACATAGTTGTTCTCGGTTACTGTTAGGATATTATTGTATATTGCTAAAAATGAAAAATAAATGTCTATTATTAAGTTTAAAGGATGTGTGTTCTGTAGCAGTGAATCTTGAAAAGCTGGGAAGTGTACCTCTTATAGTAAATAAGGAATCTTCTTGCTATTTATTTATTATTTTTATTTATTTATTTATTTATGGCTTTATTCAATATTATATTTTGGTACAATATAGAATTCTCAGCACAAAAATATTTCAACAAGTTTCTTTTACAGAAAATTGTTAAGTTGATCTTTTGAATAAGTCTGAAGTAGTTGTTATTGGAATTCAGTGTTTAAACTTTATTTGCAAGTGTTATTCATCGAAGTGTTTCAGCTTTTGTATACTGTGTTTTTCCTGAGGAGTAATAAAAATTTCGAATTAAAATGAAATTTAATTTTGAAAAAATTCACGAACCATAATAGTTGCTGACTAAATTACTTGTTCTAATCGGATCAAACGAGGAAGCACCGAATATATACGCGCCATACTTCGTCATTCGTGTAGGGGTTGGAAAACTGCCTGGGACCCAACCCGAAGCAGGTGGGTTTTTTAGGGGGTCACTCCCCTAGCCTTTGGCCTGGAGGTTTAATCCACAGAGCAGTGGAGTAATGTCAGGAGATGCAGTCTCATGGTAGCCGGTGACCAACAACAGGTTCATACACCATTTGTCCCATCATGATCCTGGAGCTTATGTGCACCACTGTTTTGGAATCAGGATTTTCCAACTCCCCTAGATAAATGCTCCGTATCAATCGATCGGGTTGAAGCATTAAACATTTGCTTTTCGTCCTGTCAATTTCGTGAACAACACCCTCGCCACGAGAAGCCAGTGAGTGAGGACTTCCTTAGCATAGCCTTCTATTTTTATGTACTCCCATACTGTAAAGTAAAAGTTATAATAAACGTGAATTGAATAAACAATTTACAAGTGGAAACTTTTTATTTAAGGTAGTTTGCATTCATTTAAACTAATTTATCAATCTTTCTAATTCAAAATTGCCCATAAATATGCATTAAAATAAGTATAGAGAAGAGATCTTGTCATGAAATATTTTGTTATGTGATAGAGATTCTGATTTATTTTATTAAGTTAATTTATTGATAAAATACCTATAATGTTTTACTTTTCAATAAAAAATCAGTTAACTCATTTGTATTAAAAGTTCAATGATTTACTGTACAATCATAATGTTCAACATATTCTTTCCGGTTATCTAATATTCTGATTTTAATTTTTGACATTCAATTATATTTTTTCTATCATTCTATCCAATGATTTAGATTTTATAAGATTTAATCTTTTCTGTTTTGTCTGTTTTAAAATGTTTATCGATCATTGTAATAGATGAATTGTTTTGTATCTAATTTGTTCCATGATTTTCCTGATAAGATGTACTGTAGTGTAGAGTTTTTACTCAGGTGTGTACCGGAGTTGTGTGGTCTGAGTATTTTCGTACGAATAATATCCTTTAGCGGTAATCTAGAACTTTTTGGGTTCCTTATAAATGTTTCACTACTGTCACCTTACTTTTAGGGATCACGGTTACTTGAAAACGGTTGATGTATATGTTACATATTGCAATATGGGTACTGACAATCGATTGTTAGCATACTGAACGAAAATGTTTGATCTTGTGGAGATTTTAAGTCAGGTTATACCACCTCAGGGTTTCGGCTTTTATAGCTAATGGCCAGAGACGCATTTCTCGAACAAGCGCTAGCCACAATGCGTCTGATAAGAAAAGGTTTAAAAAAATACAAGAACTAAGGTAGCGGATTAACATACAATCCTCATCCCTGTTGATTAAACACCAAAATGCTAATGAAGCCATATGAGCGTGGTTGCCAATCGGAATCTACTATCGTTTGGAATTTTATTAATCATTATATATTGGATTATGGTATATTATCAACAAATAGTTGCTGCCTGGTTCATATCTAGTCATATTTTGTTCCCCTGGTATTCTTTAAAGATTGGTAGGGTTGGTATTGCTCTGTAGCTGGTTAAGTTCATTAATTATGTATATGGTCAAAATTATTTACAATCTATCGTCTATTCTCTAATATACAGTAAGTTTTGTTGATTACCTCGCACCATACTTTTGTATGGTTCGATTCTATTTACATACGTAGGATTTCTGAATTGCTAGCCAACAAACTAACCCTTCAGACAGTCTGCTTACTATAACTTCTAGTACTATAAACCACTGTCATGTACGAAATACAGTAATGTAATCAGTGCCTTTGTCCAGTCTGTATGAATTTTCGACCCACCCTATGTCAATTTACCGTTTGGCATATAATTGCAAGCTTAGCAATCCTAATCGCTGTTTGTTCGTAGATTTCTAATGCTTTATAAGGAATGCTATCAAATCCACCTGTTTAAATTTTCTGATGATATGACCCGAGGTCGATAGTGGGTAAAATATAATAGGTGGTGCTTTCTATGTTGTCAGTCAGTCAGCTACAACGTAGGACCAGGCATATATATATACGTCGGCCCAAGTTGCCACACCTCATTAGCACAACAAGATAAACACCAAATTCATAGAAGTAGTTACTTCAGTGGTAGTAATATATAAAAGCAAGATTGTTTATAAGGACATAATACAGAAAGAAAGAATTAGTTGGTAGAAAGAAAGATATAAAGCAGTTTTAATCTCAGTTTAAGGGGAGACAGAGAGTGTATACACCGACGCCATTGTGATTGATTCTGAGCCATGTCACCCAGAGTCTCCAACCATTGGTTACGATAGTCATGCGGACCCCAACCAAGTAGACTGCATATATCAACATGGCTAAGACCAGAGGTTAGTGACTTTGTCGACTGATTAGGAGTTTCACTGGAAATGTTTTTCAAATGATATTCGAAATAAGACTTTATCCGATACTAACAGGAAGTATTTTGAAGAAATAAGTATGGATTGATGGTTTCTAATTCCACATGCCCGACTGTAGCTGCTACCTTGACGTGGTGGTCGGGCTTGCCTATCGTGATGACCCAACCGAGCTATATTGGCTGGAACACATGTTCCTGCAGGTTCTACCATGCCAGGCAGGTCGACTGGAGAACTGTGAGACTAAAAGCAACAACTCAAGGTCTGAGGGCAAAGTCGTACTGCTGACTGTACAGAGGTGTGACAGCAGTAATGTGTTTCTCTCGGACAACCAGCATCTGCAGCGATGCTGCCTTCTCACAAGGAAGGAAGCGGTTAGAAAAGGTTGACCCTAAAAATGTCACACCTCACCTTACCTCAAGGATTTCCGTCTCCTGCGGTAAGGCCCTTTGAAGAACGGAGCTAACACATTAAAAACCTTCCACAAAAAGACCGTGCGCGACCGGCCTTAAGCAGTTATCCCTTGGGCTCTGCGGTCACGCTCCCAGGTCTTCAAGACCAACACTAATCCGATTTCCTTTTCAGGTCCCTCAAGAAATACCCTTCCACGGTGTGGGCAACCGGGAAGTTACATCAGCCCTCATACCCGTAATAGCACACGAGACCAAGTTGGCCACATTCAAATCCTTCCTACACCTAATAACTCCCTTATTTCCACGACTAACCCTTCTCGTGTCCCTTTATCACCTCGCCCCGCTAGTGCGAACGATTCGAGTACGCGTAATGTTATTCCTGGTCTCCTGAAACCACGCTCCAAACTACACGTAGGAGCTTTCAACGTCCGAACACTGTCCCAAATAGGACAACAGGCTTCCTTAGCTAGGACTTTAGAATCTCGCCCCGTCGATGTGTTCTGCGTCTCCAAAGCGCGCACACAGGATCCGAGTAGTGTCATTCATTTGACCTCACAATGTCAAAGTAACGAACCAACTCGATTTACTCTTCATGTATCTGAAAGCCCTGATGCTGCTTCCCGTGGCCTTGCTGGCGTAGGTATAGCATCGAGTCCTAGGGCAGAACTAGCTCTCTTAGAATGGATCCCAGTAGACAATCGTTTACGCGCTGTCCGACTAAATGGAACAGTAAGGACTCGAAAAGATAGGAACACTCGTCGTTGCCTGTTCGTCGTCTCTGCCTACTCTCCCACTGACTGCAGCTCAGATGATGTAAAAGATGAGTTTTGCAGAAAGCTTTCCGACCTTCTCCGAAAAGCTAGGCGTTCAGATGTAGTAATAGTGGCTGGTGACTTTAATGCTCAAGTAGGTAAACTAAGCGAAAAGGAAAGACACCTGGGTGGATCTTATGGTGTCGCGGCTCAAAGAACAGATAACGGTTACCGTCTGTTGCAGCTATGCTCAGATAACCGCCTGTTTCTTGCAAACACTAACTTTGGGCATAAGGAAAAACATCTTTTGACATGGCGACCCCCTGATTCGTCCCAACGTTGGACCGAAATAGATCGCATCGCTATCAACCACCAATGGAGAGGCTCGATAAAAGACTGTCGCTCATTCCGGAGCATATGCTTAGACTCAGATCAGGCTCTGGTGAGAGCGCGTATTTGTCTACGACTTACTGGACTTGGGAAAGATGGTACAAGGAAACTCCTTAGGGTCCTACTTGATGATAGTCAAGCTAAAAGTATATTTCAGGAAAAACTAGAAAAACAGTTAGGCAGCCATGTAAGTGATTCCCACCCCGAGGCAGCGTGGAATGACATCCGAAAAGCTGTAGAAACAGCAGTGATGTCTGCAAGTACGGTAAACCATAAGGTTAGGGAGAAACACTGGATCTCAGCAGCATCTACCGCACTGATAGATGCTCGAAAACTTATTCCATCTGGCTCTGAACATAACGAAGAGCGGAGTCAGCTTAAGCGTAAGCTGACCAGAAGCCTACGCAATGATCATGAACGGTGGTGGGCAGCGAAGGCAAGATAGATGGAAAAGACAGCGGCAATAGGTAACAGCAGGCAACTGTGCAGACTTGTTAAGGAAACCGGTATTAGGAACCCAACTGTTAGCGAAACAATCTCAGAGAAAGATGGACATATTATTCATTCTTAATCCAGGAGATTGGACCGATGGGCAGAACACTTTAGGGATCAATTCAACTGGCCTTCAGACACACCTCGGTTTCCCACGATCTCCAATCTACCTGAATGACAAGTTAATGCAAGTCCTCCGACTATTTACGAGGTTGAAAAAGCTATAGGAAATCTGAAGCGTGGGAGAGCAGCAGGCCCTGACAGGTTTACCCCTGAGATTTTTAAGGATGGCGGTCCAGTATTAGCAGCGAGATTGACTGAGGTCTTAGGTAGAATCTGGGAACTGGAAGAAGTCCCATCTGACTGGTCTCAATCACTGATTGTGCCAGTCTATAAGAAAGGACTAAAGTCTTGTGACAATCACAGAGGAATTAGTTTAACTAATATAGTGTCTAAAATATTAGCTTCAATAATACTTCGACGTCTAAACAAAGCTCGTGAAGAGCAGACTAAAGAAAACCAGGCTGGTTTCCGACCTGGACGTGGTTGTATTGATCAAATATTCACACTACGTCAGGTCCTAGAACTTAGACACACATTCAGATGCCCCACAATGATAGTGTTTCTCGACCTTCGGGCGGCATTTGACTCTGTTGATCGTGAGGTTCTATGGCAGTGTTTGTCACTGAAAGGAGTACCAAAGATGTACATTAATCTTATGAAGGCTCTCTACTCGAACACAACTGGTCGAGTGAGAGCTTATGGCGAACTGTCATCAGAACTGATTACCTTATGTGGTGTTCGTCAGGGCTGTCCACTCTCTCCAATCTTGTTTAACTTTGTCGTTGACGTCCTTTTAGAGATGACACTTTCCTCATTTGAATTTCCAGGAGTTGAACTTAGAATATGCCGATGACATAGTTCTATTTAGTGAAGACGCTGACAAGATGCAGAGTCTGCTGACCACTCTAAGCAACAATGCAGGCATGTTCGGCGTGCGATTTTCTCCCTCGAAATGCAAAATGTTGCTTCAGGATTGGGTTGCGTCGACACCCGAACTAGTGATAGGGAGTGAAGTAGTTGAGCGTGTCGACCACTTCACTTATCTCGGAAGTCTCATCAGCCCTTGTGGTTTGGTGTGTGACGAAATCTCAGCACGGATACAAAAGGCTCGACTAGCTTTTTCCAACTTGCGTCATTTGTGGCGTAGGCGAGATATCTGTCTATCAACCAAAGAACGTGTTTACTGCGCAGCAGTTCGTTCCGTCCTACTTTATGGCAGTGAAACATGGTCGGAAAGAGTAGAGGATATTCGTAGGTTACTAGTATTCGATCATAGGTGTCTTCGAAACATTGCTCGTATATCCTGGGACCACCGAGTAAGTAACTCAGTTGTTAACAACCGTGTACTAGGTAAGGATGGCAAATCAATTGATAAAGTAGTGAAACTTCATCAGTTGAGATGGCTAGAACATGTGTTACGCATGCCCGACCACCGACTGCCCCGACGTGCGATGTTTTATGGTGTAGGAGTAGGTTGGAAGAAAGCTAGGGGCGGCCAGACCAAAACATGGCACAAATCCATGAAGTCACTGACAAGTGGACTGAGCCATGTTGGTAGGTGTAGACTACCTGGTTGGGGTCCGCAAGATGATAGCAACCGATGGTTAAAGACCCTGAATGACATGGCTCAAAATCGTTTGCAATGGCGTAGGTGCATCCACTCTCTGTGTTCTCTCAAACTCCAATCTTCTGAATTCTTCATGTCCTTTATTTTCTTTTCAAATCTGTTCCACTGTATCATACTCCTTAAATAACATCATCAAACCCTAATGTTCTCTATTACTACTTATACTTTCATTACCTCTACCACTATGGGATTTGAATCGATAACTGCATCTCTGTGCTAATGTGGTATGGCAACTCGAACTGATGTACGTACGTACGAAGTTCCACGTTGTTACTGACTGAATGTAGTGAACGAACACTCAGATGGAGAAGACCAATTTTTGTTTAACGCACAGTGTGAAAATCATACATCATTTATACATCTTTGAATTGTCTCTTACAAGCTTCATTGTCCCATCACTCCTGTTGTTATTTTGATGGCTTTCGGTTTTCTTCATTCGACTCTTTATTTTAATCTTCTCAACTTTCTGCTCGCAGACATTCCACTTTCGACTGGTGTTACATACTACTTATATCTGCAGACATAAATAGCATACACCGCAGTACTTTTATTGAAGGTTATTAATTTATTGTTCTACTCATATTTACTCTTGGGGTACCTCATTTATTGCATTATATCAACATGATAAATTTGCAGTTCGTTTCTGTTAGCCTAGATATCATCTAGCATATTTAAGATAATAATCTCTTAATTTTATCATTATAATCATTATTTAGGCATGCACTTGTGTATTTTAAATGAGATTTGTGCCAATCATTAATATATATACAAACCAGTAGTAAGGTATACTAACATTAAAACGTTACCGATTCAATTCAGAGAGATTATGGAATTACAAATAGTTGATACCGATATCTGTTAAAATAAGATATAAATGTTATTGTCTTTCTTTGTTGTTGTTTGATTCTGTTTGTAAGTGAAATGTTTTTTCAGAGTAAACAAACTTCAAATCAAGGCAGGGAACCTAGTGAATATAGTGATTTATCTCCAAGGTGGTTTCTCATACCGAAATAACACTAGCTGAAGTATTGTGTTTGTTGAGATAATTTGTTGTACTGGGTGGTATCTCGTGTGGAATATTACTTACTCATTATTGAAGTAACTCAAACTTCATGAACATAACTAGCGTATGCTTACTGAATTTCATTTGGTTTTCACCTGATATCAAGGTTCATCTTTAATATCTAGTGTGTTTATTTTAGTAAACGTTTCTTGTTTTAATGACATTACAACGTATGCCTTTTTTGTATTTGTGTGCAACCAGACGAACGACGATGAATTCATTATTATCCATTACTTGTCAATTGATTTACTTTCTTTGATAAACATAAAGAATACTACTGAACCAATCAGTAATAAGTAAATCACTTCATGGTTACGGCACCAAGCATCCAAGTGTCATTTAGCTAATAATAGGGAAATATGAATTGGATAGTGAATCTCAATATGATGATTTCGAGTAAAAGGAATGTTATTAGTTGCTTACAAAAATGCGGAAATGTTCGAGGAGATACTGTTATGTGTATATATTATTTAAGATGTTACATGTAGTGTTAGTATGTTATGGATAGAGGTTAGTTTTGTTGTATATAAGCTAACTTTAGATTTCGATCACCACTCTAAAGTTTATGAGCTAAGAACCTATAACCAGCTTAGAAAATGTCTTTATTTGTCGTAAAATCAATATATTCTCGGTAAATCCTCCCATTTTTGTATATTAGTTATACTTAGAATTTCGTGATTGTTTAAAGTATGTCAAGATTTCTGAGTTGTTCGGCAGTATACTGTAAGTTTAACCTTAATTAATTATTTTCCTAAAACCAGGAATCAGCCTATTCATTTGAAGTTTTAAAAAACAATGCAAAATATTCTCAATCATCAGCAGATGAATTATTACCCTTTCCTATTCCATATGAATTACCTCCAGTGAAATATCAATCAAACGGTAAGAAGTTATACATGTATATAATCATTTTTGTTGTCACTTTTTTTTCCGATAGACATGTGATATATTGCAAATGATGAACATCAACTTCATTTCATGTCTGATTTTCATTTCATTTTTCACACTATTTTCTTTGTGTTTTTTTAAATAACATACTGGTTCTTGCAGATAATGTTTAGAAACTATGTGATTTTGTTGCGGGGAGACTGATCAACTTTCCTTAACACTGTCATGATCTAAATTATTCATAAAATTATTAAGTCTATACAAGACTATCCATAAAACATTCAATATATCCTTGTACTAAATTGTAGACGATGATTATTAAATTTTTGTCCGTTCATTCACTCAGGTAGTTAGAGATACACAACGTTAAACCTTGTACCTGTATGCATCAGCTCAAATTTTCACACCTCATTAACGCAACTCAATTAAATTGTCAGGAAAAATCCCAGAGTACTGGAGGTAGTAACCGTATTAGTGGTAACATGGGAAATTAGACATTGAAGATACAACTCAGGAAGAAAATATAAATTAGATAAAAAAGTTTTATAAGGAACTTTCGATCCAGGGGAACACAGAGCGTGAATATATCTACACCACTAAATAATTTGTTTAGTGATCGTAATGATTTGCTATTTAGCTGAATGATTTCAATAGTGTAATGTTTTTTTAGCATTCATTTTTTTCTTTTTGGAAAATATCATCATCACCCAGGTCATGTAAAATTAGAATAGTATTTATTTTGATGTTAACTGATATAATTAAGTTTTTTATTATTTTCATTCGTTAACTGTCATTCAGAAAGCACTTTTACGTAAACTATTAATCGTATCCATACTGGATAGTTTGCCTACTAGTTGATAAATGAAAACTTGAGTCGGTCTAAAGATCGAACATTTTATTTATAGATGATCAAATCATTATTATCCAAGTTCACTATTTTTGTATTCGGATGTTGGCTAACAGTAGAGTTGTGAACACATGTTTTGTTCTATCTAGAAATCGTCAGCTCAATGTAGCTGGTTTCTAAATATACTAAGACTTGTAGTAAAAAGACCATATTAAGGAATCTGTTCAGGATACACATATCCAAAGTTTAATCAAACTACAGCATTAAATATTAACCATGGTGTAATATACGAGAAACATTTATTAATAAGATGATAACTGTTTAATTCAAGTTACCATAGCTATACGTTCATACTTGAAATCCTGATATAGTTCAATAATGGAATGGTAATCTATGAAAAATATTGACTATTATCAGAAGGGGTTTTGTGGAGATTTTAGTAATTTTATAATTCAATTCATGAGTCATGGATTAGTTGAAATTAGACATGAACACCGCTGGATCTCGACTCAATGGTCTAGAGGTTAAGCGTTTGTACGCGAAACCGATAAGTCCTGGGTTCGAATCTCGCGATTGGAATCGTAGATACACACTTCTGAGGAGTCGCATACTAGGAAGAAACGGCCATTTAATGCTTCCAGGTTTTCCATGGTAGTTTAGCTTCAATTGACCCATGAATTAAACTAAAAAATTAATAATGACTGTTAAATATAGCAACATACATACTTAAGCAGAATTATATTTTGTAGAAAATAATTTATCATAAAAGAAGTTGGGGAAGATTACAAATCACCTCATATCCAAATTTCGTAGCTTTATATTAATAATATTTTTTGATTATTACTATTTTATATGTATGTAAATTATTTCAGATGAACCATGGATTGTGGATAAACCTCATAGTCTACCTGATATATTTGGTCATATTTGGGAGCCCTCTTGAATACTGTATGAATAAATTGACTTTTTTTCTATTTCTGAAGACAATAATTTTATTTGTAATTATTTTCAAATATTTCCATGACATGATCATGGTTTATAATGGATCGGTTATTTCTTCTTTGAATTGAATATATCTCTTTAATAATGTATACTCTTTTATATAAGATGATCCTTATTTTACATTTAATTAATAGTTATTTATGTGTTTCTTATTGAGAGAGAGAAAAAGAAAAGGAGGGAGAAAGATAAATATAGACAACTAAACAGAAAAGTAACTAATCTATCCAAAGTAAACTGTGTATCACACTTTCAGAATTATTTTTAATTTAATTAAACATTTTAAAAAAATCTATCCTTCCTTTTACAATGAGTTTATCTTCATTTTGTATACATTTGCAACCCGGTATAATTCTTCTGAATTTATTATTATTATTTTTACCAAAGTTTGTAGAAATAGACTACAAGAAACTCACTTTGATATGAAGTATAATTTTCTTCATTTTAGTTAGTTTGTGAATGCAATGTTTAGACTAATTATAAAGGCCCTTAAGTTATAATTCTCATTCAATCAATTTGGAGTTGGAAAGTTATTCAGTATATCATTAGTATTTTCCTAACGGGTATAAAGTTAAATTGCGTTTATTGTTCGTTTTGATATCCTGATAGATCCTACTGAGAATGCATAATTTGCTAATATCGAATGGATAGGATATAGTTCTCATAGTATTAAAAACCATCTGCTCAATAGTGACCAGCTTCAAGATGCACCTCCTGGAGTTGTAATGAGAAGCCGTAACCAGTGAGCTCCAATCCTTGTTGGGTGCATGACAGTTATCCACCTCAGACAATGGATAAAAGGTTGCACAAGATCATGGATTGATCAAAATGAAATATTAACGTTGTTGCATGCCGACTTAATGGTCTAGAGGTTAAATGTTCTCACCAGAGACCAAAAGACCTGGGTTCGAATCTCGCGTGCGAGATCGTGAACGTGCAATGCTGAGGAGTCACATACTAGAACGAAACAGTCGTCCAATCATTACAGGTTTTCAGTGGTGGTCTAACATTGGTCGATTCATGATCTCAATTGATATATTTAATAGATAAATATCGAATTTCATTGGTTTCCTTCAAATGAAACATACTTTTACTATTAAAACTAATGTAATGATATTTTTTTAAAGACAGTAATTTTTTGGATTACTATCTGGTGTACGAAGTGATGGCACACTACAAAATAATGAGTTACTCATTATTTTATAATAGTTTCCAGATGTTATCAGTACATCTAAGAAAAGTTGAAGAATATCCATAAATCAACTTTCTAAGCAGTAACCGTGCGTTAACTAATGACTCACTCTGAGAGGAAGTTTCCAGAACCGTTAGTAGAGTCGATCACTTCTAATAAACACAAATACTGTTGATTGTGAAAAACGAGGTATAACAGTTACAAGTATACAAATCAAAAAATGAATATGTTTAGCACAGGGTCTATTATGCAATTCATTTCATAGTGCTAGCGTGGTATGAAAGCTTGGGTCATATGATATCGGTGTCACGCTGTATGTTAATGACGTCTGTTTGAAAGAGTTGTTGCGTAGCTACGAAGAGAACAAATAAACTACTTCTTTGATCAAACTTTACCTGTTTCCAAAATATAAAATAATACAATTAGTGCGAAAACATGAATCACTGTAGCCTATCAGGAAAAAATGACTCATACAAACAATGGACATAGCAACTAAGGAACACAACTAATGAGGTAATGGAAACTAAGTCATGCTTATGAAAAATAAATGTTTCGTGACCGGCAACTGAAAAACAAATAGCCAATCTGTGATCTGACTGAGTCTAGCTGGTGAAAGCTTAACTGAAATATTAGTTGATTTATTCTTATGGCTCATGATTATTATTCCATCTGAAGCGTCCACCAAGTCCGTTGCCCTTAATCATCACTATTGAATTATCTGACTTTTACAGCAAATGTAGAACAAGGAAGCTGGTCTTTTCATTTCCTGTCCCCAACTTTACAATCCTAATGAGTCAGTCGAGTCGATTGGTTATTTTTTCGACTTTTATATTCAGGTACTGACGCTTAAGTGTATCAACACCGTCAATGAGGTCTTCGACTCCAATTTTATGCTTATCTGCTAACTCATTAGTTGTTCGGAGGACTATTCAGCGCTCTGAGTCAAAACTTATGACAACTGTCATCGGCCATCAGTTTCTTCGGGTTCGAACTTTGAATATATCATGACTTTTTCTGGACAACTGGATGATACTGTTTAAACCATTTCTTCCACAATAAGTTGACCGGATTCTGAACACTTCTCATTTCTTTATTATGGCTGGTCGCAAGAGCCGGCATCCTAATACTATCCACTCAATCAATCATTCAGGTTCTTGTCTGATACTGTAGTTATTGACGAAAGTTTTCTTTTCATAGGTTCACAGGAAATTGATTAATTTCTGTTTGTAAGAAAATTTTGTGCATTTTGAAACCTTAATAAACCGACCATGATATTAATGAATATTTATATATTGTTTAAATTCTACTGATTGTCAACACGTAAATTCAACAAAAAAACCTACTTTCCATCCTAATCACTATAAACGCCATCATGGTTTTAATAAATTTTTCTTCATTCTAACCAACATGTGTGATTTGACTAATTAAAATATATTTCGGAGAAGTGATGTTTCATTTTATTTTTTCTTTCTTCTTCAGCTAAATCAAAATTATTTTTTTAATTTATAGATGTAGGTCACTAGGTGCTTTGATTTGAATCAGGAAATACAATTAATATCGATAAAATTATTATTTCTTATTTGTATCACGAAAGTGAATGCATTAGATGGTGAGAAATATTTAAATAAAGTAAAGAAACCGGAAACTAAATAAAGTTCTAGAATTTATTAAATCGGTTAAATTTATTTATTATGAAGAGAAGAAAGTTCAAGATATTTATTAGGAAAAAAAGAAATAGAAATCACATAAGCTATTCTCAACACATTAATCATTAGATTATGTTAGTAAATAAATTATAGATTATTATTTGCTAGTAGTGGAATTCAGGATTTATTTCGTTCTGACTTTCACTCATCAACTGCATTCAAGAGATAATGTTAACATCAAGGTTCAGATTAAGTAGTCATTATTTTAAATTCATTAGGCTGCAGAGTTGTGACAGCTACTTAGTTGTTCAATGGATATGAAATTTGTTGTAAATTCCAAAAGCTTTTTAATTTACCGTTGCCAATATGAAGGGATTAACTTAAATAGATAATTAAACAAGAAGATTTATCAAAGTACATGTAATATTAAGGTGAAACCATAGTGTTAATAAACTTATAAGATGGGGGACAAACTATCTATTTTACATAGTAATTAAGTGTGAAACCAACTAATAGTACTGAGAAGGAACTCCTTTGATAGTGACAAATATATTGACCCATTTATAATAAGATTTGGTTATAATATGATTAGAACAATTATAAGCGAACAATTGTTTTCAATTAGATCGTCATCAGGCTTTACTCAAATATACAGTAATATTTATACGAAAATGTTAAACCAATCAAGGCAATTTGGGTCAGTAATCACAAAAAATTAGAATAAGTCACCATACATAATAGATAAAAGTACAAGTTCACAGTAGGACTATTTTTTGTGGAATGTTTTATAAATGGACGACGGCAGATCGTACAGCTGCGTACAATTACACATTTCCGTAATCAATTTTGGCTAAGACGTTTTTATATGAACATTAATAATGCTACCCAGGATCACAAGCTAATGCGTGAACAGAGATCTCAAACCACGATCTAACTGTTGAACACATTCAATAAGAGCGAATAAATTGTAACAATATGCAATTAATATATATTTATCATTTATAAATCTGAATGCTTGAATTATTCGTAGTAAAATCAACTTATTCCGAATAATGGGGATTTTACTATCTTCACAGTTGAGACCACGAGTCAATCTAAGCTAAACAATCATTAAAAATCAGGAAACACTAGACGACTGTTTCATCCTAGTATGGGGCTCCTCAGCAGTTCACATCCATGACCCCTCACACACAATTCAAACCCAGGTCCTTTGGTCTCTCGTGCGAACGCTTAACCATGAGACCACTGAGAAGGCATCCAATGGTGTTAATATCTAATTTTAAACAATGCCAAATAGTTCCATACTAAGAAAAAAAGGCCATCCAGTGCTTCTAGATTTTCAATAGTGATTGATTCATGATCTTATTCAAAAACTTAACAGTCTTCACAACTCCATACTAATATGTTAGTTTTTCCATGTACCATCGTGGTGTGTGCTACTTATGTAGACATAAGTAGTATACGACGTTAGTCGTGAACAGAATATCTGGCAGCAGAGAGACAAGAAGATCAAATAGTAAAGAATGAAAACAGAATGCAATTTGTATGAAAATGCAAGAACAATGAAGTCTGAGTCATTTGAGACAATTGATGGACATTTTTCGAATTAAGCATTTACTTTATGATTGTTAGATTTTATTAACAAGTCCTGTAATTTCTGTGTCGAATACATTCGATTGTCCCCACGCATGTTCGTGTTTACTACACAATTATTTGAGTACACTAAAACACCTATGACTAAAGGTGTGATTGATAATCAGGAAATTGTTGAACTTTTCATAACGTATGATACAACCTTTTTTTGTCTGTTATTTCCAGTCAAAACTAAGAAAAAAGTAGACTTACCTTGTGCTTATATTATCAATATACATTATTAATTGTTAAGTATGCATAGATGAATGTAAACATATATATATATATATATATATATATATATATATATATATATATATATATATATATAAAGAAATAAAATCTAAGATGGATAATGAACAATAGGGATATATAAATAATGAAATATTTTGTTAGATAAGAGCTTTAGCTCTATTCAATCGGTAGACAAATATTACATTGATTCATATTTTATTATTTAGGTTAATTGTAAGTAATTAAAACAATTAATTAACTAGATTCATTTTAAGTGTGTTGCTAATGTCTAATACAGAAAAAAAGACAATCTAAATTCAATTCATTTCTAAATGGATTTTACTCATTGACATTTTTACATCAAATACAGACAAATATAACGTTAAAATTAACCGTAACATTGTTTGTTAGATAATGATAATGAATAAAATCTTTTTACATAAAGCTTAACTGGAAAAAAACTTCATGTTAGTCTTTAATTCAATTGAATCGACAGTTAAGGTTATTAAAACTTAGAATTGTACTGATTGTATTTCGGAGTAAATATCATATGTTTATGTTTATTTATATGTTTAGCGTTTAAGATATTTTCTGTGATTTAAACAATGAATGAAAACCAAAGATATTGTTTGGTTTAAGTGATCACTACACGACAATAATATTTGATTAGTAATGGAGTCCAAGATGTATATTTTGTTCTATTTAGGACTCGTCAGCCGGGTATAGTTGTACCCTCATGTTGATGTTCAGATACTGAGAAAGCATTAATAACGTAAAGATTTACAAACTTAGTTTTTGACTTATTTTGTGTTTGTTTTTTTTTGCGGGAGAATAATTTATTCTTTTGAAAT